AACCAATGGAGTGAGTGCTTTCTATGGACCAAGCAGGATTCTAGGCACAGGGGGGCTACAGCAGGGATTTTTTTTTTTTTTTGAGATAGAGTCATACTATGCTGCCCTCAGTAGAGTACCGTAGCATCACAGCTCATAGCAACCTCAAACTCTTGGGCTTAAGCGATTCTCTTGCCTTAGCCTCCTGAACAGCTGGGACTACAGGCGCCGGTCACAATGCCTGATTATTTTTTTGTTGCAGTTGTTGTTGGTTAGCTGGCCTGGGCCGGATTCAAACCCGCCAGCCTTGGTGTATGTGGCTGGCACCCTACCCACTGAGCTACGGGCACCGCCTACAGCAGGGATCTTACAGACTGCCTGCTCTCATAGAGTGGACTCTCAGGATGGAGAGACAGATAATAATTTCAAAAATTAAGAGAACAAATCCATAATTTCAAATCTTAAGTGTTATAAAGAGAGTAAAGTGATGCATTAGATAGAGAATGACTGGGGTGTGGGTAGGGCAACATTAGATGGGGGAGAGAGTCAAAGAAGGGCCCTCTGAGAAGGTGACATCCTGGTAGGTGTCAAGGAGAAGCCAAGTGAAGACCTCAGAAGGGCCTTCTAAACAAAACTAAACTTGGGCAGATCTGAGATTATCATGTCCTGGAACTTGGTGACTACCAGGGCCAATACCTGGAGCTCACATACGACTTGTGAGCTAGCATATTCTGGGGATCCAGAGACCTCCCTGATGTCACATCCAGACACCCCAAGTGAAGGAAGAGGACTTGGTTGGGGCCCGTTGAAAGTGAAGGAAAGGAGATTTAAAAGGCACAATTGCCATACATTGGCCTGACTTAAACAAACTAATTAAAAAGGAAAAAAGGGAAGGAGACTGTTGGGGAAATTGAACTGCAACAAAGAAACACTGTTTTAAGTGTTTTAATTTGATAACATTGCGCTTATCTTTATGTTAAGGGTTAAACTGTGTCACTCCCAGGTTCATGTTCAACTTTAACCTCTAGAACTTCAGAATGTGATTGTATTTGAAGATAGAGCTTTTATTTATTTATTTATTTATTTATTTATTTTGAGACAGAGTCTCACTATGTTGCCCTCGGTAGAGTGCTGTGGCGTCACAGCTCACAGCAACCTCAAACTCTTGGGCTTAAGTGATTCTCTTGCCTTAGTCTCCCTAGTAGCTGGGACTCTAGGTACTCACCACAACACCCAGCTATTTTTTGTTGCAGTTGTCATTGTTGTCTACCTGGCCTGGGCTGGGCTCGAACCTGCCACGCTTGGTGTATGTGGCTGGAACTGTAACCACTGTGCTACAGGCACCGAGCTGAAGACAGAACTTTTAAAGATGTAATTAAACTTAACTGGGGATGTTAGTGTGGGCCCTAATCCAACATGACTGGTGTTATTCTTTTTTTTGCAGTTTTTGGCTGGGGCTGGGGGTTTGAACCTGCCACCTCCAGCATATGGGGCCGGTGGCCTACTCCTTTGAGCCACAGGCGCCACCCTGGTTTTGTTCTTTTAAGAAGAGTAGCCAGGTGTGGTGGTTCATGCTTATAGTCCTAGGAACTCAGGAGGCTGGGGTGGGAAGATCACTTAAGCGCCCAAGTTCAAGACAAAGCTAGGCCACCCAGCAAGACTCCGTCTCTACAAATTGTAAAAGATGAGCCAGGTGCAGTGATATGTCCCCGTAATCCCAGCTACTTGGGAGGCTGAGGTGAAGAGAATTGCTTGAAGCCAAGTGTTTGACGCTGCAGTGAACTAAGTAGACATCACTGTACTGCTGCACTCCAGCCTGAGTGACAAGACCCCTGCCTCCGAAAAAAGAAAAGGGCACAGACATTGACACATCAGACACAGATGCATGGAGAAATAACCATAGTGTGAACCCACTTACCTACAAGTCAAGGAGAACAGTCTCAGAAGAAAACAAACCTGGGACTTCTAGCCTCATAACTGTGAGAAAGTAAATTTCTGTTGTGTAAGCCACCCCACCTGTTTTTTTTTTTTTCCTATGGCAGCCCTAACAAATAAAAACAGTTTACATCAAGTCTGCGCATCTTGGAAATAACCACAGAAGAAATGACAGGCTGGCTGGGACTTGCTATAAAATAATCTCTGAGAGAAGATTTAAGAAGAGTGTGGCTTATAGATGAAACAAGAGTGGCTACAAGTTGAATAATTGTTGAGGTTGGCTGACAGGTATGTGGGCATTTATTTTGGGTTCATTCTACTATTCTCCCTGATTTTATACATTTTGAAAATTTCTATAGTAAAAAGTAAAAATACAAAACAAATAACAACAAAAATAAAACCAAAAAACAAACAAACAAACAAAAAAACACCCACCTAGGAATAAGGGGGAAAAAGGAAACAAGGGATAAAACCTGTATCTGTGGCTCTAAAAAGCTTGGCTGTATCTCAGACTCCCCAGAAGCTGAGCCTCTGATATTGGTATCTTTTAAAATCTCCCATGGGGAGTTCTTTCTTTCTTTTTTGAGATAGGGTCTTGCTGTATTGCCCAGGCTAAAGTATAGTGGCATCATCATAGCCAATGCATCCTCAAAACTCCTGGGCTAAAGCAACGCACTCCTGCCTCAGCCTCCTAAGTAGCAGGGACCACAGGTGCACACCACCATGCCTGGCTAATTTTTCTATTTTTTATAGAGATGGGGTCTCACTCTTGCTCAGACTAGTCTTGAACTCCTGGCTTCAAGCAATCTTCCCACCTCAGCTAGGATTACAGGGAAGAGCCACCCTGCCCAGACTCTTATGGAGAATTCTAGGGTTGATAATCATTGACCTACACAAAGAGAACTAGAAGTTCTTTAATGGAGAAATAAATAAAGACTTGAAGAAAAAGGCCATGGTCCTGGATGAGAAAAGTAAGTACCATAAACTTTTCCAAGTTAATTTATAAATTATAATTCCTATTCAAAAATTGTGATGAACTGTGCTAGAGTTTGCCAACACCTACTTTCCCTCCCTGGGAAGGATATGTCTCCCCCATCTCACTGAAATTAGGCTTGGCTGTGCAGTATACTTTGGTAAATAAATAAATTGTGACCAGGAGTGACCTCTATCATTTCTGGGGAGAAGCTTCAAAAGCCATATTCTTCCCACTCTCTGTGAGGCCAGTAATGCCCAAGCTGGTGGTTGCTCTGTGAGCCTGGGTTCCCGAGTGAAGACAGTAATGATGGGGACACAGAACACCCCAGCTAAGCCATGATGGATGTGGAGTGTGAGGCAGAAATAAATCTTCCCTACCTGTGACCTTCCCTTAACTGCCCTTACAGGAGACAGCACCCTTACATGGTACCAATGGCAGGATAAACTGGAATGACTTTGCTGGAGGACAATCTGATAAGATGTATACATATGCATAAAAAATGTTAACTCTATAATTCTACTGGGAATTTATTCTGAAGAAGTCATTACAGAGGAGAAAAAATTTCTGCGTACAAGATAGAGTATTTATAGCATCATTATTTAAAATGCTGAAAAACTTTAAATATAATGACTACACATCTTTATGTTAGTGAATATAAAGTTATTTAAATAAGTCACCAGAGATATACTACACACTATGACTATAACTGAGATTATGTACAGAAAGATAAAGACAGAGGGGAGGGTGAAGAAATAGAAAATTACAATTATGGTGAGATTATAGATAGAGTCTTTGGTTATTTCCTATTAAAACATATTACAATTTATTTGGTTGTAAACACCCCAAATGTTTGTGCATATACAGATGCATATGTTACGTGTGCATAAATAATATGAAGAGAAAGCTAAAGAAGAATTAAAAAGGGGAGGCGCCTGTGGCTCAGTGAGTAAGGCGCCGGCCCCATATACCGAGGGTGGCGGGATCAAACCCAGCTCCGGCCAAACTGTAACAAAAAATAGCTGGGCGTTGTGGCGGGCGCCTGTAGTCCCAGCTACTTGGGAGGCTGAGGCAAAAGAATCGCCTAAGCCCAGGAGTTGGAGGTTGCTGGAGCGACTCCACTGCACCCTACCAAGGGCGAAAAAGTGAGACTCTGTCTCACAAAAAAAAAAAAAAAAAAGAATTAAAAAGGAACAGTCCACAAAACAGCTTTAGCTAACACAGGATTCTCATTAAAGTCAAGAAGCAGGGTGGCACTGGTGGCTCAAAGGAATGGGGCGCAGGCCCCATATACCTGAGGTAGTGGGTTCAAATCCAGCCTTGGCCAAAAACTGCAAAAAAAAAGGTTAAGAAGCATTTGTCTAAATATGATAGCCAGTTCCTGTTCTCCAGGACCTGAAATCCAATGAGATGCTAATACACCAAGGCTGGCTTCCTGCCGATATTCACAGGTCTCATAACACCCTCACGTGCCATTCACCCAAGTCCTGAGGAATGAATGTCAGGATGACACAGTGGCAAAGGGCACATACACCACCATCCAATCTATCTGGCTCCCAGCTCTACTCTGACACTTACCAGCCAGGGGACCTTGGGTAAGACCTTCCCTTGTAAACTTCAGTTTCTCCCTCTCTAAGGTGGCTATCGTGCCCAACTCAAAGGCTGGTGTGCGGCATAGCATCACAAACGCCCAGTACAAGTTGGCCACTGCCCTAACTATGTGCCCCAACATCTCTTGTGGATGGGCATTGATTTTTTTTTTTTTTTTAGAGACAGAGTCTAACTTTATCACTCTCAGTAGAGTGCCATGGCATCACAGCTCACAGCAATCTCCAGCTCTTGGACTTAGGCAATTATCTTGCCTCAGCCTCCCAAGTAGCTGGGACTACAGGCGCACACTACAATGTCTGGATATTTTTTGTTGCAGTTTGGACGGGGTTGGGTTCGAACCTGCCACCCTCGGTATATGGGGCAGGTGCCCTACTCACTGAACCACAGGCGCCACCCAATGGGCATTGATGTTAAACTTAAAAGCAGGCAGAAGCAAAAGTAGCAGCATGTTTGCAGTGTGTTACAAAAGCAAGGACTCCACTTAGCCATGCCCCATGCTTACCATAGGTGAACATGCGTGGCGAGGTCAGTTCAATGTTAGGCAGAGCACCCAGGTGGTTCAGCACGGCGCACCGGTAGCCATTTTTCTGGGCGTAGTCAACAAAGGTGCGGATGTATTGCTTCTCACTGTGGTTGGCAATTCCAGGGCAGATAACCATGGTGACATCATCTACAGGGTGGACAAAATGATCTTGATGTATCCAATAAATGTCATATGATAAATGGATACAATTACACTTCACTGGCTTAGAAACAGGAGGACAGAATTTAACATGCATTTTTTCACTCCATTTCTTGGGAAGGAATATCTTTCCCTTCTAGCTGGAATTGTCTATACCAGTGCTTCTTCAACTATTTACAGTGAAAGGTTAGTTTTTAAAATTTCCAGTGAGTCATGGACGGATACTTTTGAAAAACACAATAAAAATTAAATGCTAGAAAAATGAAATGAACAAATATATAAATATCAATTTTTAATTATTAGATTAAATAAACAGGTATGAAATTACTCTGTCAAATTGCTATAGAGCAACCTTCCTAATGCTGCAGCCCTTTAATACAGTTCCTGTGGGCTCGGCGCCTGTGGCTCAAGCGGCTAAGGCGCCAGCCACATACACCTAAGGTGGTGGGTTCGAATCCCC